TATATATATAAATTATAAGTATCACATGATTAGGTTAGTATTACCTAAATTGATCACTTAATTTTGTGATGAACACATCAATGATTAACAATAGATAAATTTAAATCATTAATCTTTTGTCTTCAATATTCATCTTAAGAAAAATAAATAAATAGATATTATTTTTATATAAACAAATTATAAGTATCACATGTTTAGATGAGTATTACCTAGATTGATCACTTAATTTTGTGATGAACACATCAATAATTAACAATGATCATATAATAGTAAGGATTAAAAAATATTAATTTAAAATTTAAAAGGATGATTTTTTTTTACAATAATTAAAGTCAATACTTACTCATTTATAAAAGTTTAATTAGTTTAAAAAGTAAATAATTTTAATTTTAATTTATTTTAATAAATTTATAATTAAATGCATAATATAATTTTTTTGGTATAATAATAGTTTATTATCTTAAATAGGTATTTAATTAAACTATTTATTCAAACATAACTTGTATATAGCGGTGAGAATTGAGATAACATGCTTAAGATCTTAAATTTCAACTCGAGTATTATTATTATAATTTTAATAAAAAAGAAAAAGAAAAAAATATAGCCCTGCATATAATGCTAGTCCAACTTGTGCAGAGGTACTACAACAGATGTAATGGATGTTGCAGATGCACATGATACAGTGTAACATCAACTACAACATATGCTCGTACTACAACATATGTATCAGACGTTATTGTAAGCTAAACCATTTTTTTAACCCAAACGTAAAATCACACTTTATTAAAATATAAAATAATTATTTTTATCTTTTCCATTCGACGTATGTTGGTAAAATTTTAATAATAATACAAACACGTTAATATGATAATATGAGATATATTATACGGGTTATGCTCTCATGCACAATTTTTGAGATTATTTCATCGATTGGAATAATTAATTTGACGTACATTTTGTCCGTTTTAATTCTCATTTATTACAGAATAATGCCAAATCATATCAAGAATATGAGGGAGATAATTTAGCCTAAAATTTAAGATCTGTAACTGTCATATACTTGTATATAGTTAGATATTGATCAATAGAATGACATACGATTCTTTTCCATAACTTTGTTACATGCGGTGACAGAAAGGACAAAAATGTGGCTCTATGACCATTTATTTTCATGTAGTCAATTTATTAATTTTGAAGGGCATGTTCGTGCAATGCATGAATTTCAACTACACATATATTTGTTTAAATTATTATAGGAAAAATGTTAATAACACATCTTAATTTTTACACATTTTTTGATAAAAGAAAATTATTCATTGAAATTTATCAAACACATTTTTTTATAATTTAAAATTTATTGAAAAATACAAAAATATGTTAGAAAGAGTATTGTGAAGACTCTTGTTACTGTATTCCATTCCAAGAAGCACATAAAAGTATATAATGAAATTTAAGGATAAGATTGAGATAAAGGAAGATGATGGATATATTGTTCCCAAAGGAAGGAGTTTTGATTCAAGTCCGAATACGATCCAAGCAGGATTTTCCGTCGAGTTGATGGTTTTGCTGAAGCTGCATGTAATCTCTGTATTTAATGGCACGGTATGCAGCGGGATTATCATCGCTAACCATCTCCGGTGCAGGCCCCACATCGGTATCAAGGCAGGGCCCGTGTGCTGTACCAACGGAAATTCTAGTGCCTTTCGTATTCGTTACAGCACGATGAACCACACTCTTGTACTTGCCGTTCGTCAGAATCTGACCACGAAGACAATCACATGGTAACAATCATTTCTATTTCATTCAACACATTATTTCAAACAATAAAAAAGGAAAAGAAACTGATAATTAACAAGCAAGTGGGTCATCAATTTTTAATTACCTCCATGTGATCCCCAGTGTTGATGAGAAAGGAGTTGGGTAAAGGGTGGATAGGAATCCACTTGCCGTTATGTTGAATGTGAAGCCCTGCAAGGTCGTTTTGCATAAGGAGGGTCAGAAGCCCATGGTCTGTGTGGGCTGGAAGGCCCATGACAAGTTCAGGCTTTGGACAAGGAGGGTAACAGTTGATAACCAACAACTGCGAACCTAAGTCTAGTTTCATCCTTCTGTGTATGTAATTTTCTTCAAGGCATAAGCTTAGAGATATTCCTTTTAGCAACTCTTCAATCACTTCCCTGCCCTTTGTGGAGTATTCCTCTAAAGTTTCGCTGCAAACATTGAACCACAAAAGCAATGTATAAACAACATTGGTGGTTTTCATGTATGACAAACTCTATGTATATTGTTTTCTTTTGATTAAGAATATTCTGAATTTTTTTTTTCTGATTTTTTAAATTTGAAGCGCCAAGAAAGTGTAATACAGTTTTGTATAACATCAATATTCTTTTTCTTCTTGAAAAAGCTATAACAAGTCAAACTACAAAATTCTAATAATTGTTTCTTCAATCATTTTTTTTAACTTGGGTATTCCATGGGTAACGTAAAGACTATACGGCTATATTTGAATTCATACAAACAGATGAGTTGAAATGATTCAAAAATATTTATCACGTGAAATTAACGGATAAGTTAAAATACTAGTTTTCTCTTATCATAAGGTCATCCTATTCATAATAATTACAACTTTTTATTTTATTCTCTAAAGTCCATCCCTCTAGAGAATAGTTTATGATATCTAATCTTTTAAAAAAAAAATCAAAAACAAAACGTTAATAAGGTGACAAACTTCATCCTACAAGGTTCCATTAAAATGCTACAGGGCAAGTAGTGATAATTTTTTTTATTTGTTTAGGTTATATGAATGTATTAAATTGTTTCATATGTTATACCTTTAATAAAAGTATAATCATTTTAATAAATAATTGTATTTCGCCCTCTGGAAATTTTGAAAAAGCTGTCGCTGAGGTTCTCAATCTTTGAAATTTCAAAGACATAAATCCAAAATAGAAAGTGAATGGGGTCCTCATATATCAGTCGGCCATAAGCACACTTCGTGTTGTCTACCATTAGGGCTAAGAATTTCTCCACCCTTAATAGTGCTGTTTCAAGTGGTGCAATGACACGTATCTGTACTATATGTTTCTTGATATAAAATAATTATATTGAAAAAATAATTCAAATCTTTAAATTTAAATTTATGAGATATTATTTAAATTTTAAAAGATATGGATTCTTTTAAAATATTATTTATAATTAAAATATATTATATTTATTTTAGAGATTTATTTCTTTTTTTAAAATTATGATATAAAATCAATAAATATAAACTCTTGATATAAGAAGAATTATCCGTAAAGGGAGTTACTATCTTAAATAAGAGAGGAGGTCATATGAATGGAGATTTTTAAGTTTTGTCAAAAAACTTGTAAATAAGGGTTTATAAGTTTTATCCATAAAACTTGTAAGAAAGAAATTTTCAAGTTTAACCCACAAAATTTGAAAGGAAGATTTTTCAAATATATGTAATACATTTTGAGATAAATAATAAATATCCTTATAGACTTATCATTATTATTGTTTTAGTTTAGTCCATATACACTGTAGATATATGAAGCAAGATCCATATACACGTATGGTGTTTATATAGTAAATATGAATATATACCATTGAGCCAGAGTGCAAGAAATACTATGTTTTGCTAAGAAATATATCTTAAAGGTAGGTCATGGTTCCTACTCGCCGTTGACTACATACTAAAGATTCGCATAAAGTTGTGTCGAAATTAAGTGCGTGTTTGTAAATATGATTTAGTAAAAACACGTCAGAATCAATACAAGAGCGAATGTTATATGCTTTGAAGATCTACATGCAACAGTAAATATGTTTCTGAAAACGTAACAGAATAACGTCAGAATATATAGCATGTTCTGTTATTGTTTCTGTTTCCAAACACTACATATGATGTGGTTTTTATTAAACCTAATTTTCAACCCAACCACTAAAAAGAAACCCTGTCTACATTTAGATTGTAATCCAGTATGTGCTGCCAACTGATCACACTCATTAAGCGTTGCAATTACAGTTTTAGACTATAATTTAAAATCTTAGTGATACTCATATAAGCTAGCTCTCACTTGAAAACAAGTAAAAGAAATAATTTCAGATTTTTGTTTTAATAACAACGGTTACTGCTCAAAAGGTTAGAAAAGAATAATGAGTCATTATTGTCACGCACCCACTTTTTCTTTTATTTTATATTTAATTTTTAATTATCTCATTTTTCTTCTTATCTATCTTTTATATTATTTAATTTTTTTTGTCTATTGCTATTTCTCTTTTTCATCTGTCCCCCATCTACCCAAAATGGGGTCACGTTAATCATTTTCTAAGAATAATATTTGACAAAGTACAAATCAAGAGAGGAGAATGATTCTTTCTAAGAATAATGTTACCTTAAACCAGGAGGCTTGGAAGGAGCATTAAAGTGAGGATGAACATAACATTTGAGATAATCTCTCCAGAAATGCGTCTTGTCAACCATGACATTGAAGCTTGTCCCATATTTGATTGGATCAAATAACTTCCCTCCTGCGTACTCCTTTTTTTCTTCCTCAGTAAGATCAAAAAACTTCTGGCTTGCCCTAAGTACCTCATCCCTTAGTGTCTCCGATACACCGTGATTTATTAGCTATATAAATTAAGTAGTCCAAAATTAACAAGCCAGCAAAATTTATATGCATGCATGCGGAAGGAAACTACTACAATATGCAACTGGAGAAATTAAATGCATATATAGCAATATAAAGTTTGAAGTTAAATATTGTATACCATAAAGAAACCCCAATCTCGGCAAGCATCGCCTAGTTGTTGGATTGCCTTGGAGCGTTCACTGAGATTGGAAGAGGTGAGTTGAGAAAAATCAATGGTGGGAACATTCTCGTTTTCACAATACAATGAGGAATCTTGGGGGTTTTCAAGGCAAACATAGTTCAAGGGAACAGACCTCAGACAATTCGATTCCACTAATTCCTTAACGCTAAACATCTTAAATTTCTTAGTCTCTGGAGATGGTTCTGCTCTTTCTGTGGGTTTGGGTGACAGAATGGAGCAAGTTGGTTAAAACATGTATCTTTTTTTCTTCTTCTAATAATTCAGGTAAGACATGTAACTTGTATAAGCTATGTAGTTACATCTCAATTTTCATTCGGTACACGGGGCTTTATATAGACAAAGAAAAGGAACTTTAACTTTTTGCAATTATATATGTGGAACAGCCACATCCACATTTATCATATGATATGCGAGGCTTCACATAGTCAAACAAAGGAACAAAAGTACTCATTAGTGATTACATATGTGTGGAATAGATTCACGAGTCAGTGAATGCTACTCATCCGTTTCAATATATCACTCTCAAATAATGAATACCAGATACAAATTCATATACCGGATGAGTATCGAAATACCGGACAGGTGACGTATCAGTCAAAGCTGAAATCAAACTACCAAGATTTGAGGCCTAAACCTCAAGGCCGAAGGCTGAGACCTATTCTTTGGTATACATTCTTCTAAAATTTACAAAACACTTTTTTATATTAAAATTATCTTTTAAAATTTTAATCTAACAAACATTTCATATGTAGTTTAATAGATTCTAAAAAATAAGTGAATATATATATATATATATCACTAATTATATATTTTATAAAATTAAATGAATGAAAGAAAAATAAATAGATTCATTTTGTCACTTATATGTAATAAGGTATAAAAATCCAAACTTATTATGATTATAATACGATTATTCGTATTAATCACATATAAGTTGTCTTTGAGTCGAAATGTTACTCAAATATCAATGAAGTGCCTTTTTTCAAATATCTCGCCACGTCGAGTTGTGGAGAGTTTAGCAACCAATTTGGCAAAGGAATACGTATTGGTCTAGTGCTTTGAGAAAGGCAAATGAGAGAATAAAATTACTTATATTAAGTACTCTCATGCATGAACAATTTTGAAGGTATAAAAATTTTAAAGATTGAGACTTCACATGTGTGACAACGGTACCCTGAAATAGTAATAAAGGTGAGAAAAAAATGGTTACCTATCCATGAAAGAAGCTGAAAGGAAATGGTTAGAATATTATACTGCTAGTATATTTTAAATAGTTTTATATTTGTATAATTATTCACGTGGAAGAGAATGATTAATCACCTGTATATATAAACGAAAATAATTATCTCGAATTAAAGTATTTTTTAGACGATTTATTTAATTAAAAGTGTTCTCTATAATTATTCTTTTTATAATTTATGAAAAATATTTATCTATCTATAAAAATTATTCTTTTCATTTCATAATAATTATCGTCTTAATTTTTTATATGGATCAATAAAACTAATAAATAGATAAAATAATAATATTATATAATTAATCTTATTTACTATAATTGATACAATACAATCTTTCTAAAAATACTATTAAAAATTAAAATTAAGAATGTAATTAATATAAATAAATAATAAAATAACACTTATTTTAAAATTTATTTTTCCTTTTTACACTACTTATTATAAGACAAAAGAAATGTATGGACATTATTAGTTGACGTCATGCATATTTACTTTTAATAGTGAACCACTAGCTCCCCTCACCTGAAGATTGGCTCAGAATAGCCAAGAAGCGGAATTCTCTTTCCGAAGCTCAACCCGGAACTTCAATCCACCCAAAGCAAGCTTCTTAGTCCAGAGTCCTTCTCTCTAAAAACTTCCTCTTCTCCTCAACCACCCAACTCCATTTATAGAAGTTTAGGAGTGGCCAGAACGACCTGTTCCTAAACCGAAACGGCCCGTTCTGCACCCCTTCACCAAGTACAAAATTTACATGCAAAAAGGCCCATTCTGAAATCAGAACGGCCCGTTCTGGGACTCATCCAGAACGGCCCGTTCTATATCCAGAACGGCCCGTACTCCCTCCGGAACGGCCCGTTCTCAACTACATTTTATAAGTCAATTTAGTAGTTTGGAAAGACCCGTTCCAGTTTGGGAACGGCCCGTTCTAGGCTAATCAAGCAATCAACATCAACTAGTTATATACAACAACATATGCTACTACAAGGTAGCCTACAAAAAAAAAATCCATCTCCAGGCACCTCCTGTAGCCTCTAGCAGCTATCCCCAGTCTATCTCTGCCCTGCTCCCATACAACGTATGATCATCGCAGTCCAAACCACATGGAAACATGCAAGGGTAAGCTAGAGACAATAAACAATTTATAATAATTTATTATGCAACATAACAACTATACATCTAAACATCATTTCAACTTTAAACGACACAATCAACTCAACAACTTATTAGCTCAACTCATAATTTACAACTCAATCATCATAAAGTAATATCTTTTCAACACATGGCATATAGCAACCTTATCAACTTAATTTCAACTAGCTTCAACAATATCATATATTAACACACAACTTTACAACAATAAGCAACTTAACAACTTTATAACAATAAGCAACTTAACAACTTTACAGCAATAGACAACTTAACAACTTTACAGCAATAAACAACTATAGTCATCAATCTCAACTTTTAACAACTTTAAACAACATAGCAACTTTTCAACTTTATACTCAACATGCATCTCTTCATTTCACTTTCTACTCATCATACATCTCAATGTAATTATACTTCTTATTCAATTATACAACTATCCAACTTTAATAATCTTAACAACATGCAAACAACTTAATTAAACAACTATAGTCATTACAATATCAACTTAATACAACTTAACAACTTTATAAACAACTTCAACAATATACAACATATTTAAAATTCATCTATCATGTTAACTTACACAATATAAATAGCATAAATCAACTTAAGCACCCAACAACTCAACTATTTCAACAAAAGAACGTCATGCATAAAGCTTCCCTAACTCTGCTGAAATTCAACAACCTACATTCTAGCTCCCCTCACCTGAAGATTGGCTCAGAATAGCCAAGAAGCGGAATTCTCTTTCCGAAGCTCAACCCGGAACTTCAATCCACCCAAAGCAAGCTTCTTAGTCCAGAGTCCTTCTCTCTAAAAACTTCCTCTTCTCCTCAACCACCCAACTCCATTTATAGAAGTTTAGGAGTAAAGAGTGCAAAACGCTCTATTTATAGGCACCAGGCCGCAACCAGAACGACTCGTTCAGAATCCAGAACGGCCCGTTCTGGGCACATAGAACATGTACAGAAATCTCTCCCAGAACGGCCTGTTCCAAAACCAGAACGTCCCGTTCTGAGTCAACACTTTGTCATTTAATCCAGAGTCCTTCTCTCTAAAAACTTCCTCTTCTCCTCAACCACCCAACTCCATTTATAGAAGTTTAGGAGTGGCCAGAACGACCTGTTCCTAAACCGAAACGGCCCGTTCTGCACCCCTTCACCAAGTACAAAATTTACATGCAAAAAGGCCCATTCTGAAATCAGAACGGCCCGTTCTGGGACTCATCCAGAACGGCCCGTTCTATATCCAGAACGGCCCGTACTCCCTCCGGAACGGCCCGTTCTCAACTAGAACGGCCCGTTCTCCCTCTAGAACGGCCCGTTCTC